ATGTCGCTACGTCACACAGTGGAGTCTCTCTGATTGGTTGACGCGGCGCGTCGAGCTGCAAAAGTTCAGATTTTCTAACTTCAGCGATTTGCACATCAATCGCGTCGAACGCTCAGATCGTTCAAATCGTTCAAATCGAGCTGCTCTAATCGCGCTTGAGGCGCCGCAGCACTTCCCGACGCTGATTGAAGCGCGTCCACCATAGACTTTGTATGTAAACCTGATGCTCCTGACGCTGAAATCACGTTTGGTGTGAACGCACCATAAGAGTCTGGTTATTTAAAGACAAATAATTGGTTGTGGCCAATATTTGTTATTATAAGATTTTACTTCGTGATAAATTTGCCCTAATAATAAATAGAAAGTCTCCATCTACATCAAACACTTGTGCCGGGGGACAAATCTGTAAACAAATTACACACTTTGGACATCCCTGATTTAAAGAGTCCCTGAGCAAAAACAGTGAAGCCCTCACTGCCTCTGATCGTGTGTGAATGTCATCCAACTGATTAGACTTGCCATGTCCAGTAGCTACTTTCATTAAAACCTGAGCTGTGCAAAGCCTGTGAGAGGTGAAGGAACAGCAGAAACAGACTAGTTTTAATGACTGGTTAAAACCTGTACATGGTGCTAGCACCAAAGATGTTTGATTCAGTTGTAATAGACAAATGGTGGCTGAGCTCACCATTTAAAAATATTAAATCATGCCAGGCCTAAAAAACATTAAAAAAAACCAGAAAGAACAGCAAAGAAGAAGCTCCCTTTCTAGAAAGAAAAAAACAAAACAATATTTGGCACATTTATCTAAAAACTCAGCAAAAAGCCGTTTCTGTTGAACAGCTAGAATCCTCCATCAGACCAGAGAGGGACAGCCTGGATGTTCACAGATGATGCTTTACAGAGGGACCTGGAATAACTTTAAAGACACATGTTGCCATAAAATACATAATTACCTTGTTTCTTAAATACGTTTGATCCATCACATCAAACTGAGGATTAGGTCAAATTTGGTCAAAACGACATCAGAACATTTTCAGATTCCTGATTTTTAAGCTACGTTTTGATACCTGAATCATGCTGATATCATGAGAGGTGCCTTGATTTGTCATCTTAATCAGGATAACTCATTGATTTTAGGTCTGAATCTTGTTTTTAGGTTATCCTAATGAGGAGTTTGTGTCATTTTAAAGAGGAAACCTTAGCTCGCAGAGAAAATGACAGAATTTGAGGCTTTTCTGCTCAAAATCATGTTTTTGTAGCTACTGCTTATAAAAGCTATAAAAATACTTTAAGATTACTGTATATTTTAGATACTTTTGTTTAAACTACCCATGGATAAGGTATTTATGAATCATATTTTCACAAAGACAATTGTTTAAACCTTTTTACCCAATGTAATCTAGCTGCCTATTTCTCCACTTTAGGACTTCATCCTCAGTTCGATGTGATGGTTCATAAATATGTTTATTATTATTCACTGTAAATAAAATATGGTTTTATGAAATTTGTTTTTATTTACATTTTGAGCATCATCTTCACTTATTTATAATTGAGGTTGTATTTCTCCAGGATTAAGAACGGTTTATTGTTGGTGTAGGAGATTGAGATAGAAAAAAACTGAACAGAACCTGGAGAAATATCAATTTAACATCTGAATATATTTTTAGATGTTGGTAACAGGTTCGGTTTAAAAGTGTGGTTTACAGGAAGGGAATAAAATAGTGTTGATATGATTTGTTTTTACACTAAATACATTTGATTCAAGTTTCAAGCACCGTCAATCATTTTCCCTCACATCATCTCTCACAACCTACATGTGTTTCTGCTGCAGGCCCGGACCCTACCTTCATCGGTGGTCCTCTGGATTTCTTGAACTGTGCAGACTCTAAAACACAGTTCACAGTGTCAAAAATAAAACTAATAAAATGAGTTTCTTGTGGGTCTTTTTTAACCAACTTACCATCCTCAGATGGAAAACCCTCACCAGCATCAGCATCAGTTTTCTTTGGTCCGCCCTGTGACGTAATGTGTAAACATCAAGATAAACTGATAAATATAAAATACAGCAGCTTCAGAAAGTATTCAGACGACTGTCAGGCTTTAAAAATTTGCAGTGATGCGGCCTGATTTTACAACTATTTCCTGTACCTGTCTGGTTTCATCAGACCAGAGGATCTTATTCCTCACAGTCTGAGAGTCCTTTAAGTTGTGGAGGATCCGGCTACTTTTCTATAAAGCCCAGGGGTCAGATTTATAAAGGATTGCATAGAAACCATACTAAAAATGAACGTACGGCCAAAAGACGAAAATGGCGTACGTCAAAAAAATTCTGATTTATAAAACCGTGCATACGCATGTTTCACCACATTTTCCCTTTATAGATCACAGCTTCACGTCAGAGTTTGGGCACGAGGTCCCTCCTCAGGTTCTGCCCTCTACACGCCCACACTCAACCATAAACAGTCAATGCAAAGTACCTCATGAATGTTAAGATGTATTTAAATCAGTCAGCTGATCAATGATTAGTTCAGACACACTGCATCGCGAGTCTGGAGGTTGACAGGTGCTGACTGACAGCTGCTCACCTGAACAGATTGTCTGTATTTGACACAGATTTTCCCTCATTTTGCTTTAGAGTAATCTAACGATTTTTATATAAAACTCAGCTTCAAATTTATTTTCTCTCAGAGCCTGCAGGATGATAAAAACAATAAACAAAATTAAATAAATCAGATAAAGTTAAGTTCACCGCTTTTCTCCCCCGTCCTCCACCTCTCTGCTCTGTTATCTGCGGCAGGACCCCCCGTGACAAATGCGGTTTTTAAAAAGTGAACTTTTTATAACATCCACACTGGTGAGGCGCACCCTGCGCGTGTACCCAAAGCGTGACTTTTACTGTGGCGCTGTTGAAATGTTTCTTATCAGGGAGGGGTCTGTGGGTCAGGGTCTGAGGAGGAAAGAAGTTAATTAGTTGCGTGAACTTTTATTTAAGATTTAAATTTTTATTTCAAAGGTCCTCATGGCTCAGCAGCAGCAGAAGCATAAATATTACTGTTAAGAAAGCTGATGATAAAGTTGAATAAAAATCTAAGTCTGATTATGAAGGTAAATTAAATATCTGACAGTGATCATGACGCAGTGTGGCTCTAATTCCTCACTTCACCATCTGTGTCGCAGCTTCACGTCTCCAAAATGAGCGTACGCATGGGTCAGAGCTGGCTGAGGCACCGCACATTTTCACGYCARGTTTGGATTTTATAAATCACAACCTTGGCGTAAAAAGTGGCGTACGTAAGTTTCTGGGCTCATATTGTGCGTACGGCAGTTTTATAAATTCGACCCCACACCAGTGAAGATCTTCAGCTCTGGGGTCAGATTTATAAAACTTGCAGGTTGTGATTTATAAAATCCAAACCTGACGTGAAAATGTGCGGTGCCTCACACCAGCTCTGACCCATGCGTACGCTCATTTTGGAGACGTGAAACTGCRACACAGATGGTGAAGTGAGAGCCACACTGTGTAATGATCACTGTCAGAGATTTAATTTACCTTCAGAATCAGACTTAGATTTTTATTCAACTTTATCATCAGTTTTCTTAACAGTAATATTGTATTTATGCTTCTGCCAGAAGGACCTTTGAAATAAAAACTTAAATCTTAAATAAAAGTTCACACATCTCCTTCCATCTCCTCACGACCCTGACCCACAGACCCCTCCCTGACCCACAGACCCCTCCCTGACCCACAGACCCCTCCCTGACAAGCGACATTTCAACAGCACGACAGCAAAAGTCACGCTTTGGGGGCGCGACCACCTCACCAGTGTGAATGTTATAAAAGTTCACTTTTTAAAGTCCAAATTTGTCATGTGCGTGGGGGGTTGTGTGCGTGTGTGTGTGTGTGTGT